GTGTGTGTGTGTGTGTGCGTGCGCGCGCGCGTGTTATATGAATTTGTGAGAAGGTGCATCAGCGTGTGCGTATGTGAGAGTGTGTGTGATCGTGTGATCTAAAAGATCTAAATTCTGTCCATGGGGGAGTATAAATACTATTATCATACAATCCTACTGTCACTCTCACTTTCGCATTAACCATATTTCTTAATGTTTATAATCTGTCCCTGATGCAAGCCCAAATGTTTTAACCGATAACCGTCATTTATTTGGCAAAAATATGCCCATCCCTTACATCTCTTAAAAATCCTAACCCTCTTATCGTTAATGCAGCATCTTACATTGGCTGATCTAGTCGCCGCCCGTCCCCCATCTTTTCTCGCTTTGCTAATACGCAGGAGCTCTATAACAGCGAACACTCATTGTCTATGGCCACCACTTCCTTTGTTTTCACCTGTCTGTCTGTGCAACTGTCTGCGTGCCTGTATGTGTGTCTGCCTATGTGTCTTTGTGTCTGTCTGCGTGTCTGTGTGTTAGCCTGTTTCCCTGTAGGTTTGTCTGTCTGTTTGTCTGTCTGTCATTCATCTATCTCTCATTAATACATTTCTATCTTCTTACTTCACCTACTCTCCCCTTATCCCCCCCCACGCCTTATTCTTTTGTGTAAAAAAACTGTTTCTATCAGCCACTTCATTTATGCATCCCTGCGTCTGTTCGCTCATGCATCCGTCCATCCATCCATCTACCCATCCATCCTTCTGTCCGTTTACTGAGAAATTTGGGAGCGTTAGATCCCCCCTGACCCTGACAGACCAACTGGAGAAAGAAGACCTCCAGGTCCCTCTCAGCTGAGCCGGAGCGGGCCAGGACGTTCATCCCGCTAATGAGAGCGCGTGCAGCGGCCGCGGCGTCTTCTATTACCCGCAATCAAAGACTGACAGAGCGACGAGGACAAACTAGGAAATTATACCCCCTCTTATTGGCACATGTGTACCACGCAGCGGGGAAAGGGAGCTCTGGGATAAAAATGGAGACGTCGTAAATTGAAGAGGGGCAGTGGGGCCAGTGGCAAAGCGCCCGGAGGGAACACAATGTTAAACCGATTGCTCTTTTCCTCGCTGGTCGTGTTGGTGCACACCCAAATGTCGTTATTTTTCATTACCGCTACCGTGGCGTGGCCACTCTGGCACGGTTTCGCAACCGAGAAGACGGTAGTTGTCAGCGAACGCACCGTCCGAAAAGCACCATTAAGCCAAACTCTTCTGTATTAAGGAGTGAGAACTGGGAACCGCAGGCAGACGGTATTCTACTAAAATCAAATTTGAAAGATCTTTTTCTTTTCAGCGCGTGGGAGGAAAGACGGACAGTAGCAGCAACACCACTTGTTCAGAAAAGGTCCAGAGGAAGTCTGGCAGACTCAGAAACGATGTCGTCACTGTTATCGCTTCCAGCTATAAAGTTAAACTTAAAGGAAAAAAAAAAAACCAGCAACCAAAATCAACCCCAAACCCCCCAAAAAGCAAAACCTTTTTCCACAGAAAACTTCATGTGGGTGTTAATAAGGTTACCAAAAGATATTTACCGTGACTATTTGAGAGGGGAAACTGAAAAGCAGTGAGGTTAACCACAACCAAAACTTTCTTCACCACATGAATACACTGTATTTTTAAAACCAATCCAAGGAGCAGAATTTATATAAGCTTATAGAATACATTTTGATGTCTTCAATGTAAGGGGCTTGCCGAGGTGGCACAGGAAATACTTTGGTATTCAAACAAAGAAATTCATAGAGCACAGAGAACCTCTATTCCCTCTTAATGTTTACTTTTGTTTGAGTTTTCCTCGCTACAAGCCAATGAATACGTTTTTCGAAAACAGAGATTTGGGCCTTAAAACACATTACCCCTCAAAAATCTTACTTACACTACTATCTGACTCGAACTCGAACCCGACCTTCAGCACGCTAATCTACGTTCGTTCCGGACAGAGACACGCACCTACAACTTCTCACTCTTTCAGATCAGCCTTCTGTAGGCAAGACGTCACATATGCATTGATTTTCCTTGTTACCCTTGGGAATCAACACAAGACCCCGGGGCCTTGCGGTGTTTTCTTTGAGGCTGACCCATGCCACCCCGGCCTGCTCAATCCCACATTGCAGTCAGCAGCTGATGGATGGGTGCGCGTGCCGAGCGTGAGTACAGGACGGCAAATGGCGGCAGCACGGCCAACAGAGGCTGAGTGATGTGTGTGCAGCTCCAATCTTCCCCGTTCTCGTCACGCTTGTCTGTCGCAGCATTAGCATTTATTGCCAGGGAAAACTGCATGTTGCTGCACCATCTAGCCACTTAACAGTGTCGTGTCTCCAAGATTATTTTGTCATATCTTGAGAGTGATATTTATATTCTGACAGGTGGCTTGTCAAGGTCGAGGTTTTGGAGCAAATATCACACATCTAAGTTAAGACGAATAATTGTTGATGCAAGGACACAACTTTGATATGCACACCTTAAAGTCGGCTAAAGAAATCAAACAAAAAACTAAAATAACAAAACTCCATATCTGAACCCCACCAAAAATTAATCAAACAATAATGGACATCATCCCCTCCCAAAAATAAAAGCAATGACCAAGTCAAACAAAATCCCTTATCCAGAATAATACAAAACACCTAAACAACAAAAACAATTTGCTTACTCCCCCCCCCCTCCCCAGTACTCACCCCCCCGTGCATGAGTCTGATACCAAAGTTTTCTCTGTTCGCAACTGGTTCACCAACGTGTTGAAAAAAGCAACATAATACCGGTTCACGGTTAGTCGAGTGTTGTTTGTATCTCGAAAAAATGCTTCAAAGATAAATCTTCAACGTTTTTCGGTCATGTGGGGTACATGGTCCCTAGTATCGTTTCATTTTGTTGAAGTTCAGGGGAGTAGTACAGTGAAATAATACGCTGATAGGAAATACGTTTGAGTTTGAGTTTGAGTAACGAGAAGAACATCGACACAATAACAGTTACAAAAGAGGTGCACTGAAGGAGCAAGACAGACAGAAACAACAGAGGGAAATAAAAGAAGTAGGACCTACCAGTGGTGCCCCCCAACCGCCCGCCCGGTAGGCTATGTGTAGAGAAATAATTAGTTTTGAATAAATCTACCTAGAAGGACACGAGGCATCGTTCCCCGGCTCTCCTCTGTCCTGTTCCTGTCCCATCTCGCTCACTATCGGGTGATGGATGGGCCCATCTTTACGGGCTTGTTTCAATCACGGACAACAACGTACAGCCGGCTCGTCAACTGACCAACAGTGACCAACAGTTTATGGACGCATCAAGGTCTGTGTTCTTTCGATTTTCCTTGCGTTTTCGATTGAAATACCTTACCCAGGATGAACATTAATGTTAACGGCGGTTTTCTTAAAGCTGAAAGGTGGGTGGGTGAGGGGAAGGGTGTTGGCGTGAGAATGTGTGAGAATGTATGTGTGTGTGTGCATACGGGCTATTGAGTAAGTAAGATTTTGTGAGCGTGTACGTGCGAGTGTG